CAGCTTGCGGGACTGGCCTAAGGGATTTTAAAGGGGTTTTAATTACTTTTAATTAGATCACAGTTAAATATTTCGTTTTAATTAATTTTAACAGGGGTTTTGTATTTTTTGTATTTTAATTGATTGTTAGCCGCCCTGAGTCCGAAAGGAGAAGGGCGGGATATAAATGCAATTAAATAAATAAATAAATAAATAAATTCCTCAGCCAGCGTGCCTGACTGAGGAATTCTGGGAGTTGAAGTCCACAAGTCATAAAAGGGCCAGGTTTGAAGACCCCTGCTCTAAGACCACCCCCACCAATATTGACAGGGCAAGGCACTAGAACACGGGTGTCAAATTCGATCGTGTCACGTGATGTACCGTGACGTATCATGACATTTTTTTGCCTTTTGCAGAGCCGGGGTGGGCACGCCCTGAGCGTGTGATGCATCCGGCCTGCAGTCCGTCAGTTTGACACCCCTGCGCTAGAATATAAACTGAGAGCAAATTCCAGACTTACTAGCACTGATGACGTTACCTAGTTTGGTAATGAAATGTCTGCAAGAAAACAAGCAAGTTCAGAGAGCAACAAGGACCATTCAAACCTTCTAAGCAAAAAGCAAACTATCAAGACAGGAGTCCCCAACCCCTGATTTGTGGACCGTGGACTGGTCCGTGGCATGCCCGCAACTGGACCATGCAAACAAGCGAAGCATCCGCAGAATGCAGGCAGCATGCAAAACCACGTCCCCTCCCGTCTGCGGAAAAACCTTTCTCCATGGAACCGGTCACAGGTGCCCAAACAGTTGAGGGCCACCGATCTAAGATATTTTGACTCTTGGGTTCAGTTTGCAAGATGATTGAAATGAGACTTGAAAGAACCGGTTAGGGATAGAGGATCAAGGAGGAAATCCATCTGTGTGGTCACTAGGAATCAGAAATGACTTGATGCCTCCTCCCCCTCCCCCTCTGAAAAACCAGAGGTCTCAGCAGATGCCCTTCAAGGCAGGCAAGATCAATAAGCAGGAGCTAATGGGACTTCTGGAAGGATCTTATGCTAGGGCAGGGGTCTCCAAATCTGGCAACTTTGTGGACTCAACTCCCAGAATTCCCCAGCCAGCATAGTTCATACAGGAAAGAAGGATTTCAAAACCATTGAGATGGCTGCTATATACAGTAACTTTTTGGCGCTCCATCTCAATGCACATCCCAAAACTATAGGTAATCCTTGATTTATGACCATAATTGACCTTAACATTTCTGTGGCTAAGCGAGACAGTTGTTAAATGAGTTTGGCCTTAGAATTTGTACGCTTTTTATTTTTTTTATTTTTTTTTAGAAGTCATACCGGTAGCCCTCAACTTACGAACACAACCGGGGACTGGAACTTCCATCGCTAAGTGACGGAGTCGTTAAGAGAATTGTGCCACTTGTGCGACCTTTTTTGCTCATTAAGCGAATCACTCGGTCATTAAGCAAATCCAGTTTCTCCCCCTTAATTTTGCTGGTTTGGAAGCCTCCCGGGAAGGTCCCAAATGGTGGTCACGTGACCCCGGGATGCTGAAACTGTCATAAATACACGCCAAGTTACCAAGTGCACGAATTTCGGATTGGGGACACTGCCATAGTGGCTAAGTGTGAGACTGGTTGCAAATAACCTTTTTCAGCATAATTGTAATTTTTGAACAGTATTTACAGGAATGCTCGTAAATTTGATTATTACCTGTATCACATCTCAGAATAGATAGATTATATATATACTGTATGTTGTTGCCTACTTCAGCAGTCCTCAATCTTTTGGGCACCAGGGACCGGTTTTGTGGAGAGAGGTTTTTCCGCAGAACAGAAAGGGTGTGGTTTCGGCCCCTGCCTGCATCCCATGGATGGATCTTCGTTTGTTTGCGTGGCCCAGTTTCTGGCATGCTGTGGACCGGTGCTGGTGCCAGTCTATGGCCCGGAGGTTGGGGACCCCTGGCCTACCTAACAAGGCAATTTCTATAGTTTGGCCAGTGTTCAAAAATGACCCTATCCCCATTTTTCCAAAAGCTATCTGCCCTTCCTCCATGTGCCATTAGAGCTTTCTAGGAATATTATCAGCCCTGGAGCATAGGTTTTGTAGTTCAAGCTGCTTTCAGTTCTGTTGAAACAAACCAGGTCAAGGAAGCTTTCAAAATGGAACTTACCTTCTTGATTAACTTGACCAAAGCTTCCTTAGCCTTTGTGAATCTTGTTCGGCCAAAGCTTTGTGAGGTGTCAAGGACAAAGTAGATATTAAGTTGGTCACTTTTGTTGTTAGCTGATGCTCCTGAGAGGAATAATAATAATAATTTAAGCCTAATGTTTTAAAAAAAACAGGCCAGGGAACATGAGGGTGAAATCATTTGGACATGTGTGTCACAACAAAATTATGAAATCCCAAATTATGAAAAAAAGAGAGCCAGTTTGGTCTAGTGCAGGGGTAGGCAACCTTGGCTCTTTTATGACTCGTGGACTTCATCTCCCAGAATTCCTGAGCCAGCATGGCTCAGCTTGGAAACCTCTCCCTTTCCCCTCAGCATGGCTGGCTCAGGAATTCTGGGAATTGAGGTTCACGAGTCATAAAAGAGCCAAGGTTGCCTACCCCTGCACTAGACCAAGGGTGGGGGGGGAGGTCGGGGGGCTGAGGGAGGAGGGAGGAATTAGTACGGTCAGTGGGAGAGGCAGATATGGCGGGAGCAGAGGACCATATCAGGTTAGGGGAGCACGCACACGCTATTTACAAGCTTGTGGGTGCTCCGGTCCTCAGGCCTCCACTCGGTTTCCAGGGGACGCAGACCCCCCGGCCCGGGACCATCGGCTG